TGACCTGCAACACCTCTCATGAACGGTCCTTCCTTTTCACTCCGTTACATCCTCTCCTTAATCTAACGTCTCCTTTTCCGACGGATTCTCAGCCTTATTCCTTACTTTCCTCCTCATTTTGTATCCTCTCAATACTTTCTCTATGTTTCCCATTTCCTCTTGTTTGTCTCCCCCGATTAGCTCAATCTCAAGCTAGAAGAGAGGATAACCGAGCGGACTTCATCTACGACGCACACTACGCAATTTATCTCTCTTCCCTCACTCTCTTTACATTATACTATTTCCTCTCCCTCCTTTCTCTCCCTTCGCTCCTTTCCATCCTCCACTTCGCCCGTCTTTATCCCTTCCGTATTAGTTTCATCACTTGTTCGCCCGCTCCATACCTTTCCATTCCCTCATCTATTTCAAAATTGATTTACTATCTTCTTGATTCCTGTTGACTCAAGGTTTCAAGTGTTTTTGAAAACGCCGAACTATCCCTGGATGGCGCCAATGAAGCCATGGACCTATGTCGCAGAGATTTGAAGCTTAACAAAATGTGGCATCTTTGTGCATCTGATATGCAATGTTAGGAGTGACTCATGCGTTGTGAGTGGAATGGTTTTATTCATTCATTGCATCGGTAATACATCTTTTGTTTGTCTCAAAAAGTGGTTTTGTGCCCTTCATTTCACGTAAGGTTCTTTGACTCTCTCTTTGAGTGCAGTCACTTGAACTGAAAGTGCTAAGTGCAATCCATTTTTGGAGCTCACAAAATTGTTTTGCTTCATTTGTGCAAAAAGCTTTCTGCTTCCCCCACTTTCTGTCATTGACAAAAATACGCACGAAAAATGGTGGAAACAGAAACACATTGTTTTCAAGTTTCCATCACGATTACTAAATGTAAGAAGTGTGTAACTAATCAGTTATACAATGTAGTGCATCTTTCAGCATTATTAATTAGGTTTATAAATATAGAAGTAATTTATGAAACTCTAAAAGTGAAATATGATATAATTTCTTTATTATTTCTCAAATTTTAGCCCCAAAACTTGAAAAAAATAAATCTAGGTCCGATCTATCGCAATAGGTTGCTTCGCAAAAAAAAAAAAAAAAAAAAAAAAAACATAGCTCAATATTATGTTAGAGCAGCGGAAATGTTGGGACTAGGGGAAAATGTCGAGGAATACAAAACTAGGGCTGTACTGAATATGAACTAAACTAGCTAGGCCATAATCAAATATGACATAGCTAAGCTATATAAATATATTTGTTGGCACCACCAGCCGAGACGACTATCAAGCCATCAAAGATTTTGAGCCATCGGATTCGTATCGACGGACAAGGACGACACATTGACTTTCTAATAAGATGGACCAATCGTACTAGCGAAGACGACACGTGGGTACCCTCGGACTAGATATAGTCATAGTTAATACTTGCGAATTATTTTGCACGCAATAACGTGGTTGATATAGTTAGATAACCTTTGCTAAGGGAGGAGGGGGGTGGTGTAAGGAAATTTCCATTCTTTACCGACACCTCTTGAGCCGTACTAGGCATGCACTTAGAAGGAACGGGTCCGCCCCAGACCTTTCTAACATAATTGCCTCGGCTTTTCCAGACCTTCCAATTCTACCTTCGGGAGTTCTCTGGGCCTCGATTCGTCACTTAGAGAGCCTTCAATCTCTTCCTCCATTTCTGTGCTACTCTGCTTGAACGAGGAAGCCATGACCGTTTAAGCATTATCCAGATTTGGTGAAAGCAACACCCAATTAATCTGTTGGCATGGTCTTAGAGCGTGTTCCTACACCCTTCATCAGACCTGGTTCTGTTTAGGCGCGCAAGATTTCCTGACGAAGGGCAGACGGGCAGTCACTCGGCTACACAAATACATTCGATTTGCACAGTTTCACGCCAAAAATGATTTCAAGTACAAATCCCAAATCACTCGAAACAAATCGAAGTTGGGTAGGTTCGGACGGTCACCCTTGTGCTAGCCAATTGAAGTGCCATTTTAGAAGGGCGTTAAATTTGCTGGAGAGCCCAATCGGGCGGAAAAATAACCGACTCGTTGGACGGTCACGATCCTTTCTTCAGCTGCCGCACAGCACCACGAGAGTTTTGAGGTACTTCGCTGCTCCAATGAGGGGCTAGTCAGAGGATTTGGGAACAGGCTCTCGCTAGCCAGGCAGACATGGTTGCTTGAGGGTCTGCATTATACGTCGTGTCACCAGCGAGCCTCTACTGACATTTGCCAGTGGAGATCCAAGGTTTGTTCGGAAGACACCAGGTTGCCCCTACATCTGGAAGACACTGGCGGGTCACTCTGACAAAGTACACCTTTATTCCAGTAAATCGCTTATTCGTTAGACGTTATATCTTCGAATATATGCCCATTGGTTCAAACACACGGGCAACGGTCCAACCTACAGAGGCCCAATTATCTCCATCAGTTACCACATCTGATACCGAGACCTCCAAATGTGCAGACGGAACGTTCTGAGGCCTCACACAGGTGCAAGCGCAAAAGAAACAACAATGGTCACCCGCTTTAGACTAGAAAATGCCAACTAGGTAACCAGACTACCCTATATTGGCCAATTTCGCCCGTGATTTTTTTGCGCTCGATTCTGGATTACCCTCCTGAAAATAAAACAAAGCTTGAAAAGGACTTCATGTGTAATGCTTCCTCATTTCAGCCCCCTCCATCAAGCGACTGCCTTTGTTCAGTGCTCCAGCTTGCAGCATCTCAATAGCGACAAGCGTATTATTACGTAATGAATGAAGGGCAGCTTGAGAGCATGAAGGCCTGCCACTTCCAGGGGTGCTCCCCACAGTGATGGAACAAAAACATTCCCCTGTCGTGCGAGATAATGATGGCTATCATAACACCGTGGAGTATTGAGGACAGCTCGGCTTGTTGTCATCATTAGCAATATGACCAGCTTGAACTTGTGATGACCATCGAGTCATGAGAGCAAGCAAGAGGACCACTCTGCACCAGTCAACGTGTATCTTTCTCCGAGCCCCGCAAGCCGAGGCTGATTCCGCAGCCTACTGTGACAAGGATTGAAAGTAATCGTGCTGTCAGGATTTGCACAGCATATCGAATCACGGGCCATCCTCCACACCAGACTGTACTGTACCTGACCCTTCTTATCACGGGTCTCGAATATGTTATACCTTTGTTTTAGATGTACATGGAACCTGAATCTGGGACACCCTTGACGGCAGCAGTTTGACTATCCAGGCTGATGTAGGGTTGATTTCGGGTGTGATCACCCACCTTAGGGCCAAAAGAGTCAGAAATGCTATGGTGAAATCCGTTGGATTTCTTGCATGCATAAAGGGACATTTCTTCCACCCAGTTGGCAGTGCCCTCAGGGGAAACTGTGGAACAATTAGTGACATGATTCCACACGTTGATACGCTCTTCCATTTCGAAGCACCGATCGACACCATGCTTGTTGTCGCGTCGACCCTCTCTTGAAGCTTTGGGCGGGTCTACTGATTCTTCCTTCAGGTGCATCAGATATGAAACTGTCAGCGAAACAGGTTTCCCATTTTGTTTCTGGCTACCCCATCAAACGAAAGTAAAATTTGTGATAGCATCTGTAAGGCACAAGGGAAAATGCAGTCAGTGTACAAGTTAATGTATAAAAATGATAATGAGTAAACCACAAATAAAATGTTTCCACATATTTTCCTGCATAACTGTGTTGATGTAAATATTTCCATAGTACCCTTACTGGAGTAGCAGACCTTTAAGAAAGACAGTCCAGTTAGTCAATCTTTTTTATAGTTCTGCACACTAAAATAAAGGAAACATAAGAGCGGGGTACATGAGGGCAAGGGTCAGGGTCGCAGCAGGGTCACGGCGTAATGGTTGCGCCATGATTACGCTTCACTGAACTGAAACCCTTTGGAAAACTTTTGTCACTGTACTTAATCTCTTTGCAACCCGTGAAAACACGACCCTGAGGTCGTGATCCCGGCTCGTACAACTGGAAAACCGTCTCATGTACCGCGCTCTAGAAAATCCAACGATAAATAGGTAAGATAGCCCGAAGGAATGATTAGCGGAAATTTCCAGTGCCACATGTTTTTTTCTCAAGGGGGGCACAACATTCTGGTGGTCACTGCACTGTGCAGAACGGGGCAGTTGCCAGAAACCACCAAGCACCACCGTCGAGCTCGTGAAGGCGTTATTTATGCTCGGGTCTAGAACTAGGGGTGCGGTACACGACCCTCCACTGCACGAAACAACACTTAACTAGTCACTTGTCTAATAAAACAAACTTATGCTCTTTAAAATGTCGACCCTGAGTGGAGCCGACCTGGACCCTTAGGGAGATCCAGCCCTTAGAATTCTGTACATAGTCGCGGCCTACATCACACGTGGCCAGTTGAAATGAAATGATATGTTAAGTAGCCCCAAACCTTCAGGGTAACACCAAAATCATTGCTGGCGTGTCAATCTGTAACCAAGGCTCCAGATTCACCTGGCGGTGGTTTGCTGTCTTGGTGGACAAGCCTACACTTCAGGTTTCATTTCGGGCACTTAGACGAAGTTTTACTCCCTCCTCGCTCTCATCGAACGCTGGAATGGAAGGCTCATCACAAGTGTACACCAGTTCACAGCACCTCATCTGACCGCCTTTTTGGCTAGAAATCACTGGGCATGACAGCGTGACTACTCGTCTGTGTGTCGTATTATGCGGTTGGCTGGTTAGGGCAGACACAGGGTGGGAGGGGAGGAGGACATTCCCGCTTTCGGTGGAGGGAGTGCGCGCTTCATGGCACCAATCGCCTGCTCGCTCCCACCGAATGCTCTTCCCCCTCCCCGAGTGGCGCTAGGCTGTTCCCAAGACCCTGCTCCCTCACACAACACCCCCGTCCCACCCCCCGGAAGCAAAAGTGAAACCTTCACTGCTAGCAGCACGCAATGGTGCTCGCAGCAGCCTCCAGCCTCCAATCTTCCATCCCTTCGTCTTACGACAAAGTACCTTCAAGGTCCTAACTCGAGTAGCATCCTATTGCGGCCACGCTGGATCCCCTCGACTTCCTGCTCCACGTAAAGAAATTCTATGGCCGATCCAAGCTTGTTGAACGGAAATTCTAACTCTAGATTGAAGCAACATTTTCTCGCATCAGGTCCGTCGTGTCAGACAGAGGAGCAACCACGTCACTCAACGTTTTCAGACCGCGTCTGCAGCACCTTTAGTCAGAGGGATCGTATTAACCATATCTGCACAGTCCTGAACACTCCAAACGGCATTACGGCAAGCGGAAATCGAGGGTGTGAGGGGAGCTCGTGGTCTCCGCCAGCGCCTTTTCTATTTGGCCAGCTACTACACCAGCGTTCGAGCGACCACGTGATGGACCCAGTAGACAATCGTCACAATGGTGCGCCGGTGATTCGTGGGGGATCCGACGGTCGACAGCGACTTCCGCCAGTGGCTCGACGACCATCCTGTCCTGACGATCTCGTGGCCGCGGGCGACGCTAACTTCACGTGGCGCGGAGACTCGGGCGGTGAAGCGCATCCTCGAGCGTATTCGTCTCGACACTCCGTCGGACCTGCCAACGACACGCCGCTGGTACCCGCTGCTGCGGCGAGCTTGAATCTGTCTCTCGGTCCCCCACGCGCGCCTTTGTCGTCGAGGCAGCGAGCTCACGGCGCCTTCGTCGAGAGTCTTCCTGCCGTTGCGCTGGACTTTGCGGACGCTGCGGCAGCTGCGACGGCGCACCGCGAGTCTCAGACTGGCGACGGGACTTTGACGGTTCGCATCTTCACGTTCCCTCTTCCCGCTGATGAATCTCCCTCGCCGCGTTCGGGCCTCAAGCGAGGGCGAGAGCACCCCGACGACGACGACGATGACGACGACGGCGACGGCGACGACGAGGTCCAAGGGCGGGAGCGGCCGTCGCGGTCGTCGCCCTCTCCTTCCATTGCGGGTGGCGGGGGGCTGAGCACGGCGCAGTTGGCAGGTCAGGGAAGCGGCAGCGCCAAGAGCAGCGACGGCCCGTCGCGCAATTTGTCAGGACGACTTGGCGAGTCGGTTGACGCGGCAAGGCCGGCCGATATCCGGCGGGTAACCAGTGGCGGTCGTCTCGCTCCGTCTCCCGTGCCACGGCCTCGTGGCGACCTCGACCTCCAGGGGCTGTCCCCCGACTCGCGCTTCCCGCAGCCCACCAAGCACGCGCACACCACGCAGTCGCCGCCGCCACTAACCCCCGTTCCCCCGGCTCTCCCGCGCCCCGTGGGCCCGCAAATCACGCAGCGCGACCGCGTCCACATGAGCTTCGCCCGCGGCCCGCAAACCTTTCAAACCCCGCCGCCTTTGGTCCTCGGCGGCTCGACAGGTTTGGCCAGCTCCGCCGCCACCGCGAGCAGCGCTGCGGCTGCAGCTCCCGCCACAACCGTGGCTGCCTCTGGCGGATGGAATGGCCCCGACGGCTCGAACTTCCTCGTGCGGAGGCGGCTGCCGCCCGCCGAACATGCGGGGACAGGCTTGGGCGCACCAGAACTTGAAGGCGATGAGAGGAGGCCCCGTGCTCCTGGGGCGGAGGAGGAGCAGCGGGAGTCCGCAGCGGACGTAACAGGCGGAGGGGAGCACGGGTGGCAGTGGCACACGCGGCTACGGCGTGCGCGCACGGAGGGTCGCCTGGTGGGGGAGGTGTCGTCGCACAACAGCAACACGTTCGCCGCGGGCGACGAGCGCATGGCAGGGCCACTGGGCTTGGCGCGCCTGGAGTGGCAGGGGCTGCTCGCTGCAGGCATGGGCGCGAGGTTCGGCGGCGCTGAGGAGCGCATTGCTGGTTTGCTGAGGGGGGCGGGGGGAAACGCCTCTGACAGCGGCAATGCTGGGGGGGAGACGGGAGTGAAGCGCGGAGCAACGTTTCTCACTCCGCGCACGGAGAGTAGCGGGGCTGGGTGGCACTTGCCGCCGCAGCAGCAGCAGCAGCAGCAGCAGCTCAGCGCTGCTGCGCTCGTTTCCTCTGCAGCTGCTGGCGTTGAGGCGTCACCCCGCCAAAGACAGGGCGCGCAAGGGCTGGCGGAGGTGGACGCGGTGGGGCAAGTGAGTCCGCCTCTGCTGCCGCGATTCCCAGCGCAGAATCAAAGTGGTGGATCTCTGCTATCTCCCCACGGCCTGCCCCCTCGCCGCGTGTCCAGCTTCGACTTCTCGCTCATGAGCCACAAGGCCCCCCCACCACTTCCCCGTGCTGCATCGTACCGGCACGCGCCTCCCGCACCCACCGCCACAGCAGCTGCGGTGGAGGGGAGGGCGGGCGGAGATGGGTACGGCAGCGGCACCGCAGATGTGTTGGGGCGGCGGGGCTCGGAAACTGCGGGTGGGGGGGGGGCGAGCATGGGTCGGAGCGGTAGGGCCCGGGGAGGGCCAACGACAACAGGGACAGGCGGCGCTGTGGCGGGCAGCGGAAGCAAGGGTCGGTTGTGGTGTGGTGAGGAGGGATACAAGTGCAAGGACTGCGGCATGCGCTTCACCAACGCACAGGCGCTGGGAGGCCACATGACAGCGCACACCAAGCGACGGCGCTCCAACTTCGCCAGCTACAGCTTCAGCGACGTGGCGTCTGGCGCCAGCACTGTGTTCGCCATGGCAGGGCCCACTGCCATCGCCCCTCCCACTGCGCCCGCCACCACGCCTCGAGGGCTCACTGCCCCCCCCGTTACCATCCCTTCAGGACCGCCCCTTAAGCAAGCTGCCTCTGCTGCAGCGGCTGCATACTTGGCCACCGCAGGAGCAGGAGCAGCGGCCCTAGCGGGGGCGCTGCCCTCCACGCACATGCATTCAGCAGCAGCGGTAGTAGAGCCAGTCCTAGGGTCGCTGCTCGGCCTGGGGCTCGGAGCGACACGCAATGGGCCTGTGACGCTAGGCAGTGACAGGGACACGGGTGGGCGCCCTCTGCAGGAGGAGAGGAGTGCAGCTGCGCGGCAGCAGATGGGGGCAGGGGTATCGACAGGCCTGGTGTCGGGCTCAGGTGCGGGCAGCAGCAGAGAGAGGTTGGGCGGTGGGATTGAGGTGAGGGGGGGACGAGGCGATGGCAGGGAGGAGGTGGAGTGGAGTCCAATGGAAATGCAGAGACAGCAACTGGTGCAGGCATCGGAGAGCAGCCAGCCCACAGTGCCCTTCAAATCAGGCAAGCATGGCCAACAAGCTGGGGTTGTGAAGGGTTCATATGGCTAGGCTGTTGGTAGTGTACACTTGTACAATCCAAGTGTCTGTTGTCCCAGTTCACTGTGTTGGAGGACTCATCTTCTCCTGCTCGCCCTCCCCCACACACCCCCCCTTCCACCTGTTCCTTTTCCAGACCCATCGGACCTCTCTGCACCAGAGCTCGTGTCAGCTAAAGCATGGTCTCAGCTGGACAGGTCCAGTGGAGGGGCAGTATCCACACCACTTGCTGTAGGGCTGTCTCCTTTTGCACATGCACTAGCGGCTACCGCTGCACCTGGTGTTGACGGCCCGCTGTCCTCAGCTGCTCCTGCAGATTTTCCATCTGCGCACTGGGCTTCCTCCTACTCGGGTGCCAGCAGTACCCCTCAGCACCTGCCTGCCACCGCTGCTGCTGCAGCCGCTTCTGTGGCAGCTGCTCTCAACCTCTCCCCACATGATCTATCCCACCTGCCTTTTCTTGCGGCACTCTCTGCTTCTCCTGCTGCTGCTGCTGCTGCTGCTGCTGCCGCGGCGGCGGCGGCTGCAGCTGCTGCTGCCACAATGTCTGCTGCAGCAGCACCAAGCATGGTGCAGGTGCCTCAGCTCCCCTTGCATGGCACAAGCTCCTTCGCCACATCTCTGGCAGCAGCAGCAGTAGCTGCTGCAGCGGCTGCTAGTGCTGGAGCCAGAGAAATGCCATTCCAAGGGCGGGTAGTCGAAGGGCAGGTTGGGTTGGGGGGCCTCCAGGCCATGCCAAGTTCAGTAGGAGAAGGTTGGACTCGACGCGCAGAAGATGAGTCGGTACCATCTGTCAGGCCCACTTTACACAGTGTTCGTACTAGGTTTGCTGCAGGTGGTGGTGGAAGCCAAAGCACCAATATGGAAGACCAAAACCAAAGCAAGGTTGGGATTGACTTGAACCTTACCTTGTAAGGGAAGTAAGTACGGAGGAGTGCTAGCTAGATTAAGGGGAGAGAAAGACAGTGCCTTAGTGCAAATTAGGGAGAAAGTTGTTGGGCTGAGAATACCGTATTCCCCTGTACGTAACACTCACTGGAATAGTCACTCCATGGGTGGTTTATGCAGTGTAGAGCTTATGATAGGGTGCATTTTTTAGAGCACCCGCTTTTTTTACCTTTTAATTTTACATAACCCTGTCAACTTATACATATTATCTATGTAGAAGTTATAGGCTAGACTGAGGTATGCTTCTAGTGAGTACAACCAACTAGTATTTGTTCTAGGTTTCCACCTCTAGTAATCATTCGTTTCTACGTTAACATGGTATCACGCTTAGGTTAGGATCCCCCCGCCTACCGCTTCCGCCCGTCGCGCCTCCTAGGCCCCGTCGCGCCCCCTAGGCCCCGTCGCGCCCCCCCTGGGCCCCGTCGCGCTCGTTAGGCCCCGTCGCGCCCCCCCTGGGCCCCGTCGTGCCCGCTGGGCCCCGTCGCGCCTCCTAGGCCCCGTCGCGCTCCCCCTGGGCCCCGTCGCGCCCACTGGGTCCCGTCGCGACCCCTAGGCCCTAACGCGCCCCCGCTGGGCCCCGTTGCGCCTCCTAGGCCCCGTCGCGCCCCCCATGGGCCCCGTCGAGCCCGCTGAGCCCCGTCGTGCCTCCTAGGCATCGTCGCGCCTCCTAAGCCCCGTCGCGTCCCCCCCCTCTGGGCCCCGTCGCGCCCGTTCGGCCCCGTCGCGCCCCTCCTAGGCCCCGTCGCGCCCGCTGGGCCCCTTCGCGCTTCCTAGGCCCCGTCGCGCCTGCTAGGCCCCGTCGCGCCCCCCCTGGGCCCCGTCGCGCCCGTTAGGCCCCGTCGCGGCCCCCCTGGGCCCCGTCGTGCCCGCTGGTCCCCGTCGCGCCTCCTCGGCCCCGTCGCGCCCCCCCTGGGCCCCGTCGTGCCCGCTGGGCCCCGTCGCGCCCCTTAGGCCCCGTCGCGCCCGCTGGCCCCTGTCGCGCCTGCTGTTAGCGCTCGCCCGCCTGGCCTCCTCCTAGTGCCGCTCGGCCTCCTCCTAGTGCCGCCCGGCCTCCTCCTAGTGCCGCCCGGCCTCCTCCTAGTGCCGCCCGGCCCCTTCCTAGCGCCGCCCGGCCTCTCCTCAGCGCTGCCCGGCCCCTCCTCGTGCCCGACCGGCCCCAGCAGCACCAGCCTGGCCCCTCCCAGCACCAGCCCGGCCCTAGAGCACCTGCCCGCCTCCCCTGCTCGGCCTGCCGTGTCCTCTCGGGCCCTGTGTCTTCTGCTTGCCTGCGCTGGGACGCCTAGCTGCTGCCCTACTGGAGAGTGCTGCCGCCGTGTCCCCGCGCCGCTGTGCTCCTGTGCCGCTGAGGAGCTGTGCTGCTGTGCCGCTGTGTCGCTGAGGAGCTGTGCCGCTGACCCTGCACGATGGCTGACTTTGTGCTCCGCCTGGACGCTGAGGGCCACGCGGTTGACTTCGCCGCCTGGCTCTCCGATCTTCGCCGCCAGCTTACAGGTCAGCGCCAGGATGGCCACTCTCTGGTTGTCCATGCTGATGGCTTGCTCCCCCGTCCCCCTGCACCTACTCCCCTCCCTGCTGACCCCTCCTCTGATGACCGTGAGGCTTTCTCTACTGCTGCGCTAGCCTGTGCGGTCTGGGACTCACGCGATGCAGTAGCTCAGGTTGCTATTAGTCACGCCCTCCCTGTGTCTGAGCGCTCGCGTTTTGCTACTGTTGAAACGGCCAAAACTTATTTAGACGCCGTTATTGCTCGCTATTCCACCCCTGCCTCCGCTTCTGCTGGCCGCTTGCTCTTTCCGATGCTGTTCCCAGACCTGGCTGCCTTCCCTACTGTCGCAGATTTTGCCACTCATTTGCGTGCCCTAGAGACTCGCTATCGCACTGCCAGCACTGCTGCCCAGCTCACTGCGCTCCCCCCTCCTTTCTGCATGACGCTCTATTTTATCGCTATGCGCCTGCCAGACCGCCTCGCTAGTGCTCGCGACCACTTTCTTAGCCAGCACCCGGGTGACCTCACCCTGACCGCCTTTGTCGACACCCTCACTGAGATCGAGACTCGCCAGCGCACTATCGCTCAGTCGAGCGGTGCGCCGGCAGTCTCTATCTTTCACGGTTGTGCCCCATCCCCGTGCACGTTCACTGACGTTTCGGCTGCGGTCGCCACGGCGACCCCTCTTACTGAGACGGCTGCTGCTGTCCACCCGCAGCAGCGCTCGCGTCGCGGTGGCCGTGGCCGCCAGGGAGGTAGGGGTGGTGACGCAGGTGGTAGTGGTCGTGGTGGTGGTGACGGTAGTCCGCCTGAGGGGACTACCACCGGTGGGCAGGAGCAGCAGTCCCAGCAGCAGCAGGACCAGCCCCAGCCGCAGCCGCCGTCCCAGCAGCACCCGCCGCAGCCGTGGGCTCGTCTCCCGCCTGGTTGGCCCGGCACCTCCGGAGGCGGTAGCCGTGGTGGCGGCCCGCGCAGCTTGGCGTCTACCAGCGGCTCCAGTGCTGTGACCTGCCAGTACCAGCTTCAGACCGGGCCTCTCCGCGGCACTCTGTGCCGCCGCCCGCACCCGACCGCCCGCTGTTTCCGCCGCCTCGACGATCTTTTTCGTCGTCGCTTTGGCCCGGCCCCGGACCTCCCTGACTGGCACAGCCTGCTCCGCCAAGGCGTGCCGATCTTTGAGTTAGACATGGATCAGATAGGTGCTGCTTTGCATGCTTTGTATGCTGACGCTTCTAGTGTTGATGGATCTTACTACCATGTGTACTCTAGTTTAGGTGTTTCACCCTTGTGTAGCTTAGCTTCCCCTGCTGCGACAGGCGTAGGACTGCCTAGGTTGCCTAGTCTAGTCGCTGCACCGGCTCCGTCCGCGGCCTCCGCCACTGCGTCGCTGTCCTTCACTCTCGACTCTGGTGCTTCTGCCTGCTTCTTCCGCGACCGTTCCACGCTCACGCCGCTTGCTGCACCTGCTGTTGTCTCTCTCGCTGACCCCTCTGCGGGTCCGGTCGTCGCGCGCAGTTCTACGTCCCTTCCCTGTCCGGCAGTTCCCTCGGGCTCCCTTACAGGCCTCCACGTTCCCTCGTTCTCCAGGAACCTGGTTGGTGTCGGCTGTCTCCAGGACCTCGGCGTCACCACCACGTTCCCCGGGCACGAGCGGTTCGCTGTCTGTTCTGAGGCTGTCTCAGGTTCCCCCCTTGCGACGTTCCCCCGGGACCCGGTGTCCGGTCTGTTTACCCTACACACCGCTTCCCCCCCGGTTGGTGCGTCCTCCCAGGTCGCTGCAGCTTGCTCGTGTCGGTCCCTCACTCACCCCTCCCTTCTCTGGCACCACCGCTTAGGTCACCCTGCTCTCCCGCGTCTGCGTCACATGTCCCAGCACGGTCTTGTCTTAGGTCTCCCCGCGTCGCTCCCTGCCCTTCCTCCCTCGACTGCGCCACCGTGCACGCCTTGCGTCGAGGGTCGGCTCCGCCGTGCTCCTCACTCCTCCTCGCTGCGTCCTGCTACTGCCCCCCTTCAGACCCTGCACTTGGACGTTTGGGGCCCTGCCCCCGTCCCCGGACCGCGCGGTGAGCGCTACTTCCTTGTGCTCGTTGACGACTACACGCGCTACACCACGGTGTTTCCCCTGGAGCGGAAGGCCGACGTGCCCGACGTTCTTCTCCCGTGGGTTGTAGCTGCGCGTCTCCACCGCGGTCTCCCCGTGTTGTGTCTCCACTCCGACCGTGGCGGCGAGTTCGCCTCTGGTCGGCTTGGACAGTTCTGTCGTGCGGAGGGCATCACCCAGTCGTACACGTTGCCGGACTCGCCACAGCAGAATGGGGTTGCTGAGCGCCGCATCGGCTTGGTTATGGAGGTCGCCCGTACCTCCATGATCCATGCCGATGCCCCCCATTTTCTGTGGCCGTTCGCTGTTCGCTACGCGGCTCACCAGCTTAACCTGTGGCCACGCTCCCAGCGGCCGCAGGTTTCGCCGACCCTCCTTTGGACCGGGTCCCCCGGTGACGCGTCTGCGTTCCACGTCTGGGGCTGCCTTGCTCACGTTCGTGCCTCTGGCACGGACAAGCTCACTGCCCGCACTGTCCCCTGTGTCTTCCTCGGTTTCCCCCTGGACTCGTCTGACTGGCTTTTCTACCACCCGCCGTCTCACCGCTTCCTCCACTCTCGTGACGTCACCTTTGACGAGTCCGTCTCCTTCTACCGCCGCTTCCCTCACCGAGGTCTCCCAGTTGCCCCCCCCCTTTTCCTTGCTCCCTCTCCCACGGTAGCCCCTGCCCCTCTCCCGCCTCGTCCTGCCCCGTCTGGTGTCTCCCACGTCACTCCCCTCCCGTCGGTTGTCCCCGTTGAGGAGTCTGCTGACTCTGGTGGTACCCCCGGTCCGTCCTTGCCGCGTCCCCCTTCCCCAGTGCCTCCGCCCCCACTGTCGCAGTCGCCGACCCCGCTGCCGCCGCCGTCGCCGTCGCCGCCGCAGCCGTCGCCGCTGTCGCCGCCACTGCCGCCGCTGCTCTCGGCCCCTGGGGGTGCTGGTGTGGAGGAGGGTGTTCGTCCTGCGGCTTCTGGGGGTGCCGCTGGTGTTGGAGGGGGTTCTCGCTCTTGGGGTGTTGGTTCTGGGGGTGCTGCTGTTGAGTGTTCTGCCGACGGTCGTTCTGCCTCTGCTGGTCCGAGAGTTCCGGCCCAGCCGTCGTCGCCGCCACAGCAGCCGTCGCCTCCGGTTTCCGCTCTCCGCCTGCTCGGCCTTCCCTCCCCGGACCGCGCGCCGGTGTCTCCCCCACCGCCTCCTGACCTCCCTGTCTACGGTCCTGTGTTCCCGCCGCCAGACTCGTCTCCGGCCCGTCTTCCTCCTCGTTCCTCTCCTGTGTCTCCTCCGCTGTCCCCGGACCCTACCCCTTCGTCTCACGTTTGGGCTCGCCGTCCCTCCCGTGCTCGTCCCGTCTCTCCTGTCCTGCCCACCCACCCTATGTTGCTCCGTTCCCACTCGTCTCGTCCTCCCCTCCTCCCGTCCCCTCCTCCCTCGTCCCTTGCTGTTGCACCTCCTCCGTTCTCTGACTACCTCCGTGCTGCTCGTCCCCTTGTCCCTCGGGTCCTTGCCTCTCTTGTT